TATAATTATGTATATATAATTATATTATAACACAAAATTTTATATATATATATGTAATTAGACTCTATAGGCATGTAGAGTCTAATTTGTGTCTCCAAATCTTCAGTGTTTGTTCATACACTGGAGTTTGGTTAACCTATCAAGAGTCCCATGTTTGAAAGAGACTGTCTCTGCCTCTCCCAGCTGCCATCTGTTGCCACGATTTCCTTAGATTGGGTCAGAGCTTCTTATCTGCTTCCTCAAGTCTATGCTGGGATTTTTTTTTTTTTTTCTGGTTTGAGCTTGCATGGGACTTGTGCACGCTGTCACCATTGCTGTGAGTTCATATGAATAACTGACCAGCTGCCTGAAAACTCTGTTTCCTTGTGGTCATTTACCACCTCTGGCTCTTAGAATCTCCCCACCCTCTTCTCCCACTTCCACAAAGATCCCTGAGCCTTGGGGGTCAGAAGTTTGATATAGGTGTCCTATTCAGAGATAAGCAGTCTTCAGCCTCTTGTTCTTTGCATTTTTGCCAGTTGTGGATTTCTATGTTGATCACCATCTGTTGCATAAGAAAACTCTGGTAAGAGTTGAGAGATTTATTAATCTATGGATATAACAATAAGTCATTAAGAGTCCATTTAATATAATTATTTAGTAGAAAACTAGTATTAAGTTCTCCCTTATGTCCTGTAACCTGTTTAGCCTCAGTTTCCTAAGCCTGATATCAATGTCAGGTATGGGCTCCATCCTGGGAAGGGGAACTTAAATCCATTTAGTGGTTGGTTACTCCCACAATATTTGTGCCACTTTGCAGCTGTGAGCAAATCTTGCCAGGCCAGTTGTTATTATGGTTCACAAGATTCACAGCTGGGTAAGGTTGATGATTATTTTTTCCTTCCAGTAGCTTGCATAGCACCTTCCAGTACTATGAACGCCAGTCAGTAGAGATGAAGCTCTCAAGTCAGCATCAGTTTGATTTCTCCTTGTTTGCTCTACAGTTCATATATGTAGTATCTTCAGCAATAGGGTCTTTACCATCCAGTTGTAGTAGGTAACCAAGAACAGGGGCAATGGCCAGTGTTGTTTGAGGGTCTATGGGACCCCCTGGTCAACAGCTTCTAGAGAGGAAGTCTGTTCCTGATACTGAAGGTTCTTTTTTGTTTGTTTGTTTTTTTATTAGCCTTTGATGTCTAGAAAGGGCACTGTTCCTTCTTTATAAGATAATTCCTTTTAATCTCTTTTTATAATGTATATGTGTATACCTGAAGAAACTTCTATAGTAGTAGGTTTCCATATGGCTTTTAGTGTTTCTTATTCATCCCTATACTTCCTCCTTTGTCCTGCTCTCCCATTCCCAGCCCTGTTTAACCCTTCCGGCTCTAATGCTGTCCTTTTCCCCTTCATATAACTGTCTTCTATCACCCCTCCCAGGAAGCCTCCCCCACCCCCCCATGGCTGTTTATTAGTTTCTTGACCTGTCTGAAATTTCAAATTAAAATATGTATATCTAAGATTTTGAAGGTAGCGCAATTATGAGAGAGAACATGAGATGTTTAAACATGCTGTCTTTTCTCCAGTGTGTATTTTCAGCTCCTTTGTAAAAAATTCAGGTGACTAGTGGCCCTTTTCTGACATAGTCCTTGCCATCATCATTTCCTTATGCTAGGTGATTTTCTGAACATCTTTGCTGTGGCCCTTGATGTGGTGACTAGAGTTTTCCGTCTGCAGGGGATCTTTCTGTCTTTATTGGGTTTAGTCAGCAGACATTGTGACCTCCCCAGGGATGAACAGGTAGCACACTGGGTTCAGGCCCACCTCAGAGGAGAAAATGATGCTCTGGAAAGAAGTAGGTACTGCCCAGGTAAGGATAGTGCTGTATACCTTAGCAGCAGGTGCTTGATTTCTTGAAAGGATGAAACTGAGAGAAGAGCCCCATTTTGTAAATACAAAATGTAAACAATCACCATCACCACCACTACCACCACACAAAGAATCCCCCCCAAAGTTCTAAAATTGAAATGCTGTATTCCACAACATCCTAAGTTATTTTCACAATGACTAGTTTAGGGAGGGGGGCACGCTATTCATTTAAAACCAGTCAGGCTTTATTTCCATTAGACTTAGAATCTCTGGACCAAGAAGGTAAAATCCCCCAGTTGGGCTCCAGTATGTCAGAGGGTTGGTCAGGAAGCAGTAATGGGGCCCTAGAAAGAGGAAGGAGCTTGCTGAGAGAACTGGTCTAAACTGGAAAAAACAGCAGCAAGGACACAACAATGCCAAACAGAAGACCAGCTGTAGAGTAGCTTATTGGCAGCAGCTCCACAGAGGAGCTCAGACTGCCCTAAGCAGGGAACAAATAGTGGCTGGCTTTCCTTTCCATTGTGAAAAGATAATTTAAAAAGGGTGAAATTATGACTCCCATACAGATTTAAAGTAAACAAATGTTAAAGGTTTTATTTAAGTTCATTATTTGGAGGAGGGAATTAGGCAGTTGTTCTAAATGGTTCAAAGGAGCCAAGAAGTTTACATAGTATCCAAGAATATCACCTGATTGTACACAGGGAGAAGAACTGGCTTTTCCAGGATACAAGAATCCCCCATGGGACTGGATCATTGCACATCTACAGACAAAACATGCTTTGCATTATTATTAGTTCTTATACCCTGCTATAAAACAGAGGGTAGTCCTGTATGGTCATCTTCCATCCAAGGGCAAACACCCCTCCCCCCTTTACAGATCAGAGAATCCCCTTCACCGGGCAAATCACTGACTCTAAAAGCTTGGTTTTCTTATTGTGAGGCAAGATTGATATGGCTGGTGGTATTGTTGTAGGCATTGGGTATTTAATAATAGATATCAGTTACCATCACTGTCCTTTATTTTTTGCTATTATTTTATTTATGTATGTTTTTATTTATTTAGCTTTTTGAGATGGGATTTCCCTATATCCCCAGATGGCCTGGAACTCACTATATAGATCATGATACCCTTGATCTCACAGAGATGCACCTGCCTCTGCCTCCCTCCTGAGTGCTGGGATTAAAGTGCCACCACTCTCAGATTTGTTATTTATTTTTGAGATAGAGTCTCACTATATAGCCCTGGCTGGATTTATACTCACTATGTAAACTATGCTGACCTCAAAATCACAAAGATCCTCCTGCCTCTGCTTCCACAGTGTTGAGATTAAAGGCATATACCATCATATCCAGATGTTATTATTATTATTTTATTTTGTAGTGCTGGAGATGGAATCCAAGGCTATAAGCATTATAGCTAAATGCTCTACCACTAGGCTATACCCCTGAACAATTTTTTATAGTGAAAAACCATCCTGCATTGGTTATAGATAAAAGGATGGGTTATGTATAATAGAGAAAGCATTGGGACAAGAGGGTTGTCCATAAGGAGAGGTCATTGTTGCTTCTGAATTGGCTGGGTTTACAAACAGGATGTGATGGCACTAAGAAGTCATGATGGAATTTGAGTTAAGGTTTTAACATACATTATATATAAAATGGTCTTTTCATAGCAGCCTATAGCTTGGTAATAGATTTACCTCCTCATCTCTCACTCCCTCTGGCCTCAGGATCTCATAATTAAATTTAGGACATCTCAGAAATACTATCATAGGCATCCACCAGGGATCCTTGACCATATCCCCTTGGATATGGGGAGATTACAGTATTACTCAGTGCCTTCTCTTTCTTTCGTCTTGATCACCATGTGCTCAGTCAGAGTGGTTGGTGGCCTTTTGTTGATTGAGTTGAACATGTGTAAGTCTTGAATTAACTCTGGATGGCCTCCATTAAAAAAATTCCCCCATTGAAAATTTGTTCAGTTGAAAGTGTTATCTTGCTGTCTCTGTCTCTGCCTTTCTGTCTCTGTCTGTCTGCCACATTGTTCTCACACCCTGCACCACCAGCCTAAACCAAGCCATAGCTACTCTGGCTGAGGAATTCATTCAGTCCTCCTCCCATCAAGAGCCAAAGTGATCTTAACACATCACCTGGATCAGGACCCTCCTTTATGAGGCTACTTCACTAGTTTGTTCTTAACGAAGTCCAACCTCCTCACAGGATCTCAAGACCAAAGACTAAAATACTTTCTGTTCCAGCTCCCAATGCTGACGGGTTTCCTCTGCTGTTTCTGCCACTCTCTCTTCTCCCAGAGCTTTGGTTCATCTGTTCTACACAGAATTCTCTCTGTTCCTAACAAGTGGCTGTTCCTTCTCATCTGTCTCTCCAGGAAGGCTTTCCTGACCCATTTAAACAGGCTCACATCCTCCACTCACCCCATCCTGATACAGTTAATCCAGTGAAAGGACAGAAGAAAATAAAACAAGCTGTAATAAAGGGTTTGAAACTAAAATGACATCATGAGGCTTAGACTGTGTCAGGATGAGGTGGGGTAGAGGGTATGAGCCTGTATAAATGGGTCAGGAGAAACAGATGAGAAGGAACAGCCACTTGTTAGGAGCAGAGAGAATTCTAGGTAGGAACAGATGAACCAAAGCTCTGGGAGAAGAGAGAGTGGCAGAAACAGTGGAGAAACCGGTCAGCATTGGGAGGTAGAACAGGAAGTATTTTAGTCTATGGTCTTGAGATCCTGTGAGGAGGTTGGGCTTGGTTAAAAACAAGCTAGTGAAGTTGTCTAATAAAGGTGGGTCTGGATCCAGGTGATGTGTTGAGATCACTTTGACTCTGTACTAGCCACTGAGCTCCACTTTGAGAGTTCCAAGATCCAGCTTGTCCCTGTGTCCTTAGACTATATAGAAACATTTCCTATATTTTTGCTGAATGAATAAAAATCTCTTTTAGCTGGGCATGGTGGCACACGCCTTTAATCCCAGCACTCGGGAGGCAGAGGCAGGCGGATCTCTGTGAGTTCAAGGCCAGCCTGGTCTCCATAGTGAATCCAGGACAGCTGGGACTACAGGGATACCCTGTCTCAAAAAGACCAAAAAAAAAAATCTCTTGAGTCAGGCTTGGTGGTGCAGGTGTGTAATCCCAGCTACTTGGGAGACTGAGGCAGAAGGATCCCAAGTTCAAGACTTTCCTGGGCTACAGAGTGAATTCAAGGTCAGCCTAGACAACCTAGCAAAACCATATCTCAAAATGAAAAGTAAAAAATAGGGCTGGACATAGAGCTTATTTGTACAGCACTTGCCCAGCATATATGAGGCCCTAGATTTAATCCATATATTTTTTGATACTTAAAAGATGTTTAATACTTGATAGATCTTTTATATCCTAATAGGCAAGATAAATATTCCATTTATTATTATTGGTGGTACTATAAATCAGATAAGTTTGGATATGTGCACCAAGAATCTTCACAATGCTTTGGAGAGATAGAGCTAAATCAGTAAACTGCTTTCTTCACAAGCATGAGGACCTGAGTTTGATCCCTAGAACCCCTGTAAAAACGCTGGGCATGGTGGCATGCCCTTGTAATCCCAGAGGGAGGCAGAGACAGGTGGATCCTTGGGGATTGCTGGCAAAGGAGCCTCATTTCTAGCCCAATTGGCAAGCTCCATGTCAATGAGAGGCCCTGTTTCAAAAGTGAATGGAATTCCTGAGAATGATACCCAGGTGGTCCTCTGGCTTCCACATACGTTCATGCACACACACACACACACACACACACACACACACACACACATGCCCTCGCACAGATATACACAATGGAACTAAAGTTTTTTATATGCTTTTAATACCCTAATTTCATTTTGAGGAATCTGTAATCAGTAATATAAGGACAAGAAATAGCTTTTTAAAGAAAGCTGAATAAGTGGAAATAAATGAACATGTACATTAAGTCTCAACCCTTTCCCACTTAATCCTACCCCCAGTTAAACCTTAAACTTGGTGCCACATTGCTCACTGTTTCCTACTGGCCCTGGCAGAACTAAGAGCTGCCAGTGTCTCAGCCAAGAGTGCTCAGGTGGCCTGTAGGAAAAGGGGGGAAGGCAGGTTCTTTTGGCTGAAGCTTACAAAGTATCAGTTGCCTTCTCTGGGCTGAAATGAGGCCATTCTCATGTTCAAAGTACCCTGGAAAGGGTTTCTAGTTCGCTGAACTACTTGATAGATTAACTCTGTGACAATTGCAACTGTAACTAGACATTAAAAACCACGAAGATGGTAACATTATTTTAACTTGACACACATAATGCACACTGGACATTATAATCCATTTACATAAATTCCAGTGACGGTCCCTTACCTCTTTCACCTGAGTAGTGTCTCTAGGTCTCCCTTTCCGTTTTTGAGCTGTAACTCACAGGTGGTTGCAGCAGCAACAGTTGATACCTTGTGTGAAAGGCTGGAGTGCGGAGGAGAGCACACCATGGAAAAACTAAGCAAATGCCATTTTCAGGTTTGATCAATCAGCATATAACAAATAGAAAGGCTACAAAAACGACTTTCCTTAGAGTGCTGCTTCCCCAGAGTCCACACTGAGGGATTGTATTGAGGTACTATGAAGGAAGAGTTCAAAAGGAAAAGAGCTACATTTCCAGACCATCCCTGGGTAAATATATGGAAAGAAAGAATAAAACCATTCAGCCAACCAAGTCCACAAAACAGACTCACAACAACAATAACAAAAAATTCAAAAACCAAAACAGAAATGGAAATCACATTTTATCTTTTTGTGTTCTGTGTGCTGTATTCTAAAAACACCCTCAAATTATAATACCACAATGACACTTGGTTTTATAAAACATCTTTTACTTAAAAACAAGGCCTCCGTGGACCTGTCAACAATGTTATATATGACATACATGAATACACTTAATAGTTATAACATAAAACATGACTGACATAAAATTATTGCTGGAGAGTGCTTGGCAATGTTATATAAGAAATAAATAGTACTATTTCAACCACAGGTACTCTCTGCTGAGGTTGAATTCTGGAAAACAAAAAAGTTCCTTCAGTGGGTTCAGGGGGCTCACTGGACCTCTATGGGGTAAGGAAATGAGGTCTGAGGAATCCTGTCTTAGCTAAGGCAGACCCCAGCAGACACCTGGGTCATACAGGGATATTTAACATAGTGAGCTCTATATACATATAAACATATACTTCCCTGTGCCATTACCTGAATTTCACATAATTTAAAATAAGGTGGACACAGAGATGAAATTCTATATAAACAGTTAAATCTCATCTATAAAGTACAAAATATAAGTATGCTTCATACAGTTTTCTGCATGAAAGTCTCTCTTCTATGGAGTTTGATGATGTTCACACTATGTAGAGATCTCCCAGGGAGTAACCAGAACATGAAGAACATCTTTGATATGCTGCTGGGAGACCTGGTGAGTGGCATGGTCTTAATAATACATGTTCTTATCCCACCAGCCTGTAGAGGTAGACAAGGGTAAATCAGAAAGGGATAACCTGTGGAAAGCAGTGTATAAGCATTGAAAATCATACTGCTGGGCTGGGGATAGTTGGTCAAGTGCTCATTTTGCACAGCTGGCTTGATTTCCAGCTCTGCAAAAAAGAAAACCAGATTCATATATATGTTACTACTCACTTCCAGGGTAGAGCCTGATGAAGAGTTTTCGCATCTCATCATATACCCAAATCAAGATGGCGTGTGGTACAGCCACAAACCAATATTGAGCCCTGAAAGCAGAAGAGAAGGTGAGCTCTAGACTGTCTAGAGTGACAGCTCATACCTTGGCCAAAGGTGGAGGCAGGGTGCTTTCTCGTCATTTCCCCTGCTTCTCTAGAAAGAATAACAAACATTTCATTGCACAAATGGGCCTGCAAAGCTTGTTATTTAGCCTGCACTGTGACTACTAGAAGTAACATTGGCTTTTGATACAATTTGTTGAATGAGAGTAGAGATGGCTTGGTAAGGTCTGGAAAACCCTTTTCTTCTTTTGGGAAATGGGCAGGATATAAGATGGGTTTCTAGGCTGGGATCCATTGATCTCTTTGGAAAAAAGGAAATAAAAACTGTGGGTACCCCAGTGTTTATTTCAGCTGTGATGGCTCATTAAAAGGGCTGGCTCTTAGTGCCAGGGAAGGTGAACTCACCTGAGCATGGTGAAACTCAGGGCTGTGACACTCCCAAGGCCATAGGAAAGGATCAGTGCAACAATGATCTGGGAGATGATCCCTACCCAGATGACTTTATTTCTGAAATACATATGAAAGCAAACAGATTCTGAATTCCTATGTCTATGTAATCATGCACCCAGCAGGCCATGCCACAGGGCAGAGTCAACCCCACATGTGTTACAGGTATGACCATTTGAGGATCCTGAAAATTTGAAGACCCTTATTATCCCCGTGTGGCAGGCCCATGAACCCAAGGTACCTGAAGAGTCCCTGCTGGAAGATGGAGTTCCTCCGGGTTTTCCTGATGATCAGATCTGCAATTTGTTGGACCATGATGGCAACAAAGAAAGCTGTAGAGCCTGTCCATTCTAGGTATTTTCTCTGATACCTTGTCTGTCAAAGGGTAGAGAAAGATGACATCATGAGACTCTGCAAGAAGATTTCTCTAAGGTCTGACCATCTTTCTCCACCTTGCCCAGATTAAGGGTAGATTAAGAGTAGACTACCTCCTGTGCTCAGAAAGAAAATTTTTTTTTCCTACGTATGGAAAGATGCTAACTTGTATTACTCCATCATGTGTGTTGGATAATAGCGGCTGAGCTAACGCAAAAGTGAGTCGAGTTTGAGAGATGAAGCTGAGCCTTCTCAAAGGCTGAATCATTTTTACCAGGGATCTTCCAGCCTTCCAGGTTTGTCTCATCAAGACACTTTAGGAAAGTGGAAGTTCTGTGCTGGTATGGTACGGGTGGGTAGGGAGGAGAGGAGAAAGACCAGGTGATGCTGAAAAAACAGCTTCTGACTCACCCATTCCTGTCCATAGCTGTCTTCTAAGTCATTGATATCATTTGTTTCCCATGCTACCCGCAGGTTAAGGAGAGAGGTAGGCCAAAAGCCCTGCTGTGCATAGACAGTGAAATACACGAGAAAACCTCCCAGGGCTTGCATGAGACCTGGAAGAGTGAGTCACATATGAGTCCTGTGCTAGGCTCAGAGAGCTGCCCAGTCCTCATGTGCCACTGGGCCCTCCTGTCATCCCCATCCTGCCTGGAACATTGAATGAGTTCTCTGGGAGGGCCTTTTGTGTGATGGGAGATGGGAGAACACATGACACACCCTCCTCATACCAATATGCAGGTAAGAGTAGATGGCAAGCTGCTTGTTCACCAGTCTGTCCTTCTTCTTGTGGCGAGGTTTCCTATTCATAATGTCGCTCTCTGCTTTCTCATAGGCCAAGGCAATGGAGGGAATCTAGAGAAGGAGCAGATCCATGAAACCAAAGTCTGGAAGGCTCTGACCACTACAGAGTGTTGATAATCAAGAGTGGGCCTGGGTGGGTGTGAGTGGATGGTGGGGGTGGGGAACTTATGCATCTAGGGTGTAGGCAATGTGGATACATTGTCTATATGGGATTTGAAAGCATCTACCTTTAAAAATAAGTCTGCTTTTGGGCTTAGGATGTGGCTCAAGGGTACCATGGTAGAAGCATGAATGAGGCCCTGGGTTTAAAAAAGTCAATCTGCTTTTAAAAGTCTCCATATGCTGGCAATTCTAAATAAAGCTCATTATGACCCCCCCACACATTATAAAATACCCCCTTCCCTTTTGGCAACTATGCCTTAAATCAATATGATAGAATAGTGGTTCTCTCTCATAGTCCTTAAGACCAAGAGGACCTTTAAAACACAGACCCCCTAGCCCTACCTCCAGACTTCCCAATTCAGGAGGTCTGGGCTGGGCCAGATAATTTGTATTTCGAAAGCGGTTCATACTTGGAGAACCACTGCAGGAGGGGAAAATGAGAAAATTTAGAAGGGCTTAGAAAATATCTGTTCTATTCAGGAAGGGGATCTCAGTTTATGCTTCAAAGGTCAAAACATCTCTAGTTTCCCCTTAAGGCAGGGACCAGGCCTGGGTGACATAAGGCAGAGAAGGAGGCCATGTTCAGGGCTATTGTGCTGTGACTTTAGCTTGCTCTGTGTTGCTTGTTTTCTCTTAGTCTGGGTAAGCCAGAGACACATGGGGGCTTTCATGGAGCTGAGTTTAAATGGGTACATGTTGGAAGAGGAGAAGACTTAGACAGGGTGACTTTTGGAAGTCTTAATATCCAATCCTAAATACTGCAAACAGTCAGAGCCAAACACCCACAAAACTCTCCCAAACACCAAGCAAACAAAAACAACAACAAAGTATCAAACCACTGCTTCATTCTGCATTTAGTGAGGCACTTCCAGATCATTGATTCTCTAACTCAACATGGAGTAACTGTGGGGTTATCACTTTAAGGCACTACCTCTTCCTCAGAGGCAGGGGACTATTGAATGATTGTTTTATCTTCTACAAGCACTAGGGGCTGAAACTGATAATGGCAGTTTTAGAGGGTCAAAACTCATGTCTTTTTAAAAATCAGTGCTAGAGATCAAAGCCAAGTGCTTATTTATTGACCTATATCCCTAGCCCTGACGCAGGTCTTAAAAAGCTCTGCATGCAGTGAATGGCTTTCATTTCTAAGCACTTGACAGATATCTCTAGTCCTTGATGAGGACAGTGGTCTTTGGACCAGCAGGATATATATCACCTGGAAGTTCATTAGAGATTGAGAACTTCAGGCCCAGTGGTAGAAAAGTTTAAGAAGCACTAACTTTGTCCATCTTATGGCTCTTGGAGGTAACAGATATGAACTTTATATCCCTTGAGCTGTTAGCAGAGCTTATTCCATTTATTCCCACTTACAATGTCTGTGCCCAAGTCGATGAATAGGATGGTAATGGTGCCAATGGGCATGGGGAGTCCGGCAATGATGTAGATCAAAAAGGGGCAGAGCTCAGCGATGTTCTTGGTCAGTGTGTAGGCAATGGTTTTCTTTAGGTTGTCAAAGATCAGGCGACCTAGAGAAGATGTGTCTCTTTAGAGGACTTGCTTCCAGCCCACAGGAAACCTGGCTATCAAAAAGACACCCTGAGACCCCAACTTGCCTTCCTCCACTCCTGTGACTATAGATGCAAAGTTGTCATCTAGCAAGACCATGTCGGCTGCATTTTTAGCTGCATCAGATCCTGCTATCCCCATGGCAATCCCAATGTCTGCCTTCTTTAAAGCTGGAGAGTCATTCACTCCATCACCTGTCACAGCAACAACTGCATCCTGTGGGCACCCGGTAAGAAAATGGAAGAGAGTTTAGTAGGCCACAGGTCAAACAAGAAGCACACTCCCTTCCTTTTGTCTTAAGACTAAAAACCTACTGGAGCCAAAATGATGGACTCATAGAAGAAAAAGATGGGAAAGTCTTAAAAATGAGAATAAGAAGTTCTGGCCAAGACATATTCAAATGAAACATTAAAACAAAACAAAAATCCACAGTGTACTCACTAAACAGAGGTGTTTTATAGAATCAACCTTCCATTTGGATGGGTTCCAAACCTACAGATTCAACCACCCAAAGATAGAACATGTTGGAAAAATACCTGACTATGGTGGCACATGCTTGTAGTTTGAGCACATGAAAGGTTGAGGTAGGAAGACTGAGTTTGGGGCCATCTTGGGCTACACAGGAAAGCCTTGACTCAAAAAAGTAAAAGTAAGCAAACAAACAAAAAAGAAAGAAAAGAAAACAGAAACAAAGTAAAGGAAAAAGAAAATATCGAAAAAAAGAAAATGGCCTCTATACTGAACATGTGTAAACTTTTTTTTATAGTCCCCTAAGCAATAGGGGATAGCATCTATTCAGGCAGCATTTACATTGTATTGGATATTATGAATCATCTGGAGATGATTTGAAGTATACGGAATGTGAGTATATTCTATACAAATATTACTTAGGAGTTCCCGAAACCACTTTCCTCATGGATACCAAAGGATGACTGTTTCTTATGTCTCATATATTTTATGTTTTTACATTTATAACTCTTTCTATATTCACATCTAGCACAGTGGCAAGTGCTTAGTGGCCTTTCCATTGGAGCCCAAGTTCTTGTGATGAAATAAGAGAACTGGAAAATATATGGTGTGGGAGGGTCTCAAAGATGGACAAAACTTCAGTCTATCCAACTTCTGCTCCGTTTCCAATGGAGAGTCAGGCCTAGTAAGGCATCTGGGAGCTGCTGTTGACTCACCTGCCTCTGACAGCCCTCCACAATGATCAGCTTCTGTTGTGGCGATGTCCGAGCAAATACGATTTCTTGATAGTTGGTTAAGAGTGCATCTAGCTGTTCTGGGGTCATGTCCTTCAACTCCATGCCAGTTACCACAGCAGCTTTAGCTTCCCTAGAAGGGTCAGAAGAAACTGAAAACAGTGAGGGTAAGGCCTAAGGCCAAATCTTACAGGTTGAAACACAGTTCTGGGCAAAACATGGGACAAAATATCCTTCATGCCTGATAAGTGAGATCTCACGGGTTAGAGGTACTAGAGACACTTTGGTTTCTATTGCAAGACAGTAAGCTGAGGCTAAAAAATTAGGCCATTTCCTGGTATCTTACGACAAAATGCCAACCAGCCTCTTCCTTTCACGAATGGGTGAGAAGCGGTACTGCATAAGGAATGTAGAAAAGTGGTTGCTTAAGGATGAGTGTGGACTTCAGAGATAAAGCACTTGCCTGGCATCACTAAGCCCTGGGTTAACAAATCTAGACACACACACACACACACACACACACACACACACACACACACACACGCACAAACAAACCCTTGCCTGTTCTTATGTTCTGGTTCCTAGAATTCTATTATGCCAATGTACATGGGTAAGAAGTCCTTTTGTTAGTTTTAGGTTTATAGAACTCTGCTGTGTGCAGTGTGCTATGTTGGGAGAAAGTCTTTGAGCAAAATTAATGTCAGCTGACTATAAAAGTAAGGTTTTAGGCATTCTCAGTTGTGTAGTTCTGACTGTGCTACTTCTCTGATGAACTCTTCAGGAACTTTCCACTGTGCCTTGAGTAGACCCCAGAATCCCTTACTTTGTTTGCCAGTAAGACCAGGTACAGCCTACAAGGTCAAGTGCAGCTTGAGCTGTTAAACTTCCCTTCTTCTTGGAGTCTTCCCTTCCACCTCATCTGATTCCTTGGGTTCTGTGACCCTAATACCCCCACTGCCTGAAGGCCTATATGTGTCTCTCTTGCCAGGAACTGGCATTTCTTACCTCAGCTTCCCTTGGCTAATATGCCACATTATAGCCTTGAATCTCAGCTTAAATGTTGTAGGTGCAGAACATTATATGCTTTATTCTTTCTGTTTTCTAAGTTTTGAGTTTTTCACATTTATTTTTCTTATTGGTGCTAAATATTGGAGTTGTAGCACTTGATTCAAGGTTTTCCTAACTGCTGGTTAAAAAAATATAACAAGGTAACCCTACATTCATGAGTATATAGGCAGTATAAATTGGAATTGGTGGGTTATTTTTTTTTTAAAAAGAACCAAGCATGGTGGTGCACTTTCTTAACCTTAGCACTAGAGAGGCAGAGGCAGGTGGATCTCTGTGAGATAGAGACAAGCCTGATCTACATAGTGTGTTCTAGGCCTGCCAGGGCTGCATAATGAGACCCTGTCTCAAAGCAAACAAACAAAAAGCAAGAAAAAGAGTATACAGAGTTGAAGGGGTGTGGGTGTGGGTCTGGGAAGAGTTAATGGGAGGAGTGGGGGTGAATATGATAAAAATACACTACATATATAAAATTCTCAAAGAGTTAATAAAAATATTGTAGTTGAAAAAAAACATCAAGTTAAGACGAGAGGGAAAGACATTTCCTTCCTTATAGCTGCTGGAACGAGTTGTTAGGTATATGGCTGTGAAGCATGAAGTCAGAGCTGACCAAGTGGATACATGAAGACAGTCACAAAGTGAGCACTTGGGTTGGCATGTGGCTCTGTCTTAGAGCACTTGCCTAGATTTAACAGAAATTTACCGATCAATAAATGTATTCACTTCATTCTTCTATTCAGTGTGGTAACTGGTGTGAAAATGTATAATACTATTATTAAAGTCCTTATCCTGTTTTTGTAGAGTGATGTTTATTTATACAAAGGAGCACTGGCAAGTCTCCTTTACATAAACAGATACTGTTGCTGTACTCAGAGGCTATTACTGCTCTATCCTACTTGGTAACTTGCTACCTGATAATTATTTATTACCTGGCAGCTCTGTGTTCCTAAAAGGCCTAAGTGCCTGGGAGATGATCATTGCTTTTTTCTTTCTCCACATATGCATGAAAGAAGAGCCAACTGGTATCATTCTATTTAATAGAACATTCTATAGTTTTTTCATTCATTATATCATTCAAAGCCTAGGCTGCTTTTCCCCATGTGTCTTCTTATATCACTTATTTTCTGTTCCTCTGGCTAGATGGAAAGCTTTCCAAGGTAGGGACAATGTTTGCTCCAGTGTCTGGCACAGAACTTAGCAAAAATACAGCTTTAATTCAACAACTAGTTATCAAAAGAATTAATAGATGAATGAATAATGGATGGATGAAAGACAGACATGATTAAAAGAATAAAGTTTCTATTCTATTTAATACTAAATAGAAAAAGAGACTATGTTTGCATAAGCACACTGCAAAGCCAACTGAATACACAGATAAATAGCCCAAATGCTCACTGCTGGGGGTTGGGGTGCATGAAAGCAGCAGAATATTCTTAATTCTACAATTGTGTCAGTGACAAGTAATTTCTCTTAATAAGATGGACTGAAGTTTCTAGATCTTCTGTCCTGTGCTGCACAACGACATTTTCAGTCAATGATGGGAGACCCATAAGATTATATTGCCCAGTGATTTGGTAGATGTCTTAATTTCTGTAGGTATACTCTAGGATGTTCACACAACAGGAAATTGCATTTCATAAGACGTATCCTATTGTTAAGGTACACCTGATTACATGTCACTGGATTTTGAAATATCAGACAAGGGACACACAAAGGGCCATCCTTATGTTATCAAAGCAGTGTTTAGCACATATCAAATACTCAATAAAATTTTCAGTGAATGAATGAATGTAAATTATAAATCAAGCCAATCTAGCCTTACCATAAGTGTTAGGCAAAAAGGAGATTTGTTCCCAATAGCACAACTCGTTAGAGCCCAGTGGTTAAGAACTTGATTTTCTGCTCCATTGATTCTATACTTACCCTTTGTTGACTTGTTCCACAGCAATGTGGCAGCGTTTTGCAATGTCTTCCACTGTCTCACTGTTGGCTGAAATGATCCCTACACTCTTGGCAATAGCTTTGGCTGTGATGGGATGATCACCTGTGACCATAATAACCTAGAACACAACAACAGATAATGAGGAAACTTGCTGGCTAAGTAGGGATCATGGTTCAGTATCTACCAGGATACTACCTACTCTCACAGGACCTAGTGATTGCTGAGGTTTCACTCACAGGCAATTCTGGATCTGACATTGCTGTTTCTGAATGATGCACTTGATCCTATTTGGACCACCCATGTGCCCAGACTTCTTACATATCCCACTCTGACATTAGAGGAACCTTCCCCTTTTGTAATAACTTCATCTGTGCAATGTCTTGTAGGTATCTCCTTGTGAGAGCCTGATGTTGCTTTAACAGTCTTAATGCTAACAGGGTAATGGAATTCATATCTTGACTTCAATTATCATGAAGACAAGTGGATTATGGAACCTGAAGTAATACAACCTTTTATTATCTATCATAGCGTAGGGCAATATATGGCTAATTCATGGTACCAGCAGTTTCTTCTCACTGTAGTTCCTGTCATAGTCCATTTTACATAGACACTGTATGAGGCAGTTACTGAAATCTTAGAGTGAAGGTAGAGATCAAATGTGGGGCTTATGATATTTACTTGAAGAGACCTAAAGACTGGGCCATCTTCAATGACAATTGTTCTTAGAAACAGATATAATATATATAGAGGAAAAGAACCCTCACCTTGATCCCTGCACTCCGACATTTGGTGACTGCATCTGGCACGGTAGACCGAGGTGGATCAATCATTGACAGGAGCCCCACAAAACAGAGGTTGGAGGTAGGAAAGTTTATGGTATCTACATCAAATGAATAGGTTTCTGGAAACTCATCTGCTGGCAAGTAGAGGTGACAGAATCCTGGAATCGGCAAGGACTTTGGAGTTAGTGAAACTGAGTAAATCACAGCACAGAGTTAAGTGAGGGGGGACGGGTTATGCTGTGGCTCAGTGTTGGAACCCATGCTTAGCATATTAGGCACCAGGTTTGATCCCAAGTGGGGAGGGAGGTGACATGAAGATGCACTTGTCCTGTATTATTGCAGCACTATATTAGAGTATACCAGAATTGTTTAATCCCTTCAATCCCATAATGCATGTTTAGGAAAGACATATTTCATCCAATGTCTTCCAAAAGTAATAATGTCCTGTTTGTTTATTAGGTTCTATGCTATGTTGCAGAAATGAAAAAATCAAGACAAGTTCAGTGGGACATACTTTACTTATGAAGGTATATCTGTTTAGTGGTGGGACCAATAGCCTAAAACATAAAGCACGATAAAGCTTATGGGTTGTAGCACAGAGCTGCACTTCAGCCACCAGGAGAGGGGGAACAGGGCATGGATGGGAATGGGGGAGGCCATTTCATGTAGAGAAACAAGCACATGCTGCCGCATAAGCTGAGAAAGGGACTCTGGACCTCTGGGAATGGTATAAAATTCAGTCCTTAAAATTAAGATAAGCCCAGGAGAAAGGCCAGTAGTAACTGGGTAGAACCATCCTTTACTCTGAGCTATCAACCTATCAGCTGTTAGGTTAAGGTCAAAGGCATTCCTGTGTCTGGTGGACCTCCCAGATTGTGTGACTCTCATTGGCTTTTACATCAAATAATTCTCAGCATGGCCCATTGCTTTCCACATTTCAGTAAAGCAGACTTTGAGAGGTCAAACAGGAGGTTCCCAGAGTGACTCTAGTCAGATAGGAGCCAATCTTTTCTTGAAAAGATTGCCTGGTGCTATGGGCTATGTAGGGTATATTTAAATCAATAGCATCTCATTTGTACACTTTATCTGCTTTACAAACTCAAATATCCTGCAGAAACACACATTCCATGGATTCCTATCAAGTGGCAAGCCCTTTCATGGTGTTTAAGGAGCCTTGTAATCAACCATGGGCTGTTTCTATGAATTCTTCATTCTATAGTTCTGAACAGGTGGCATTCAGCCAAACTATGGTTCTGACAGTAAGACACACTGCTTCAGTGATGGTATTTTTAAGGTTCCTTCTACCTCAAACATGCTCTGTCTCAGTTATTCAATTACCTTTTTTCCTACTCATAAAATGAGACACTTAATCATTTCTAAAATCACTATTCCCTTCTAAAGAAGTAAATCTTACCCACTCTGCTTCAATGAATCCCTTTCACCTGACCCTTCTTCATACTCCTATCACCTTGTATCAAATACCCACCCCCTCCTCTTTACAACTGAATGAAGGCAGCCATCTCTTGCTGAGACCAGTGTTTCTCCTCTTCCTGCTACCATGAAGGATGATCCTTAACCAACCCTGGGTGTAACTCTGACCAGCTCACTCTTGCTGTAGAGCAAGTTCTCCCCTGACTTCAGGACCAAATCCCAATTCCTCACCACACATTTAAGGACTCCACATCATAACCTCCAGTCTACCTTTCTGGCCTTGCTTCCCACACCCACACTATTTAATCTACTATGGAACACTGCATATACCACGTGCTCCCCTGTGTACATTAATTAACCTCATCCCTTTCTGTTCCTGCTTATCCTTTGCAGTTCCATCATGTGAATACCTTCCCCTACCTCCCTTCAAATATGACTATTCAAGGCCTAGTTTAAAATATGACTCTTATAAAAGCTTTGGCTTTGATTGCCTGGAATAGATCCTATTCTTCTCTGTTACCAGACAGAACCTATTACACATTACTATCCTGTGTGTATGAATATATGGATATATTTCATTGCTGGGGACTGAACTCAGAGCTTCATACATATTAGGCAAATGCTCCACCACTGAGCTATACTCTGACCCCTCATATTCTTCTTTGTATGATTTATGTGATGCCATGGATACTCTATTGGCTCATGAGACTTCTTTCTTAACTCCCAGGAAATGGACAAGGTTGTTCTATCACACTTACCCAACACACGCTCTCCCAGACCACCCAGCTCCATGTAGGCAGTGTGGAAGGCATCTGCAGAGGTCTTGTCCAGTGGCTGCTCCTGGCCATTGATCATGATGGTACTGCACTTCTCTAAGATCCTCTCTGGGGCCCCCTTCATCACCATGAGGAAGCGTTTGTCATTTGGGTCCTCTGTTTCATGTATAGAGAGCTGGGGGTGTTAAATACAAGACCTTTACCATGGCTCTTCCAACTAGCAACACGCCAAGTAGGGGAAACACATTTCTTTTTTGCACTTGCCCTCAGAATGTAAAGAGTAAGAATGATGATCTCCCCCCAAGCATGACCTGTCCTTTGATTTTGGTGCCTAATTAAAATGTTGACACTCAAGGGCTGGGGAGATGGCTCAATGGTTAGGAGCTCTGGCTGCTCTTTCAGAGGACCTGGGTTCAATTCCCAGTACCCTCATGGTGGCTAGCAACCATCCATGATCCAACATCCTCTTCTGCATTGCACAACACAGGTGCAGTTACATTCATGCAGGGAAAACCCCATACACATAAAATAAAAATAAATAAAAAATTTTAAATGTTGACACCTAGACTTCACTGGTCCAGAGGGTCTTGAGTTGGAAACCACACTAAGTGAAGCTTGTATTTCAAATAGACACTGGCCCTTTAAGAATTTAGAGGCAGTCAGACGTGGTCCTCCACTAGAACAAGTTGTGGAGGGGAATGCTGTGAGAGTTGCTTGCTTCAGGTGTACATGTACATATAAGAACAACCTCAGGTGCCCTTCACATTTTACTATTCTTCCTTTCTCCCTTTCTTCCTTCCTTCTTTCTTTTGTTGTTTTTTGTTTTGTTTTGTTTTGTTTTGTTTTGAGACAAGTTCTCTCATTAGGCTAGGCTGGTTGGCCAGTAAGCTCAGGGTTCTGCCTGTCCATCTCACCAGTGCTGGGATTACAAGCAAGTGCCACCATACCTGGCTTTTTCACATGGGTTCTAGAGGTCAAACTCAGGTAAGTTCTTTACTGACTGAGCCATCTCCCCAGCCCTGAATGGCCATTTGCAGACCCCAAACTGCTCTGAGGCCAGCAGGAATTTTTGTGCCTCTTTGTCTCAGGATAGATCTCGTTTTATTGATTGGACGTGAAAGAAAATGGAGGAGGTGTGAGGAAGAAGAAGGCACTGTCATAAGCAGCCTTTCAGGCCAGTGATGCAAAAAAGGCCACACATAGCATGAATACTCTTGACCCAACAATTCTACTTCCAGACTCATCCTGTTAAGACAATCATTCTAATAAAGTGTGTCTATATTACAATATATAATAAATAGCTAAATCTTCATATAGCCTTAATGCTTATGAACACACAAATTTTAGAAAGAATTGTATTGAGTGGCATTTTTTATAGTGCTGGGAATCGAACCTAGGGCTTTGAAACTGCTACACAATAGGACTTGTCATCTGAAGCACTTGTTTTCCTCAAGGGCAGTTTCAAGTAAGCCTTCTTCATATGACATGCTGAAACTGTTCTGCATCTAGGCAGTAGACTCTGCATAGACTCTGGAGTCTGACTGTGAGAATCAGTTGGTGCCATTTAGATTTTTAACACTATCTAAGGATCTCTTTCCTCCTTTATAAATTTGGATTCATTAGTTCTACCTTATAGGTCTGTTGTAAGGATTGAATGAGATAATATAGGTAAAGTGCTGGATACATAAAATTGATTCTTGTATTCTTAGGAGATTGGCTTTTGGGCCCAAGGATATTAAAATCCAAGATGCTCACATCCATTATATTAAAGGATGTGGTATTTACATAGAACCTACGTACATCCCCTATGAGCCTCAAATTGCCTCTAAATGATTTACACTACCTAATACAATGCCAGTGCTAAGTAAACAGTTGTTACACTGTATTGTTTAGGAAATAATAATAAGAACAAAAAGTCTGTACCTATTCAATAATTATTTTGTTCTCCAGTATTTTTAAGCCATGGTCCACTGAATGTAAGGATGTAGAACTTGAGGGTATAGAGGGTCAGCTATATTTGTTGAGCAATAAATGTTAGTTTCCATCACTTCCCCCACCTCTAATTTATCTTTTGTGATGTGGCTGTTATGCTCAACTCATACAAAAGTTATGTGGTGGTGGTGGTGGAGTGTGTATGTGTGAGACAGATAATGTTGCCAGTGTGTGTATGTGCCAGTCAGACTGAGAATATACTTGTAGTATATGTTAGCAACAACAGGCCCTAACAAGCTCTTTGCCTTCTTTTCTTTTTCTACCCTATTTCAGTGCTGACAAGGAGGCCAACAAGGGAAGCTTGGCTTTGGTTGATCAGATGCTCAGGTCTATATCTCCCACCTCTCCAAGGACTATTTTTTTTAAAGCCAGGATACCATCTAGAATATGGCTTAACCAATAGATAAGTACAGCAGAAGCGCTGTCACAGTGGCAAAGATTGCCAGTTGTTATGAAAAACACACCTGAAATTTGTTGGTAGAGTTAAAAGGAATTTCAGCAACTTTGTGGTTTCTTTTTCTAATTTCCATCACATCCCCCAAAATAACTTCTGAGAATTTTAGAAGAGCAGTTTCTGAGGCATCTCCAACCACAACTCTCTGGGAATCAAAAGAGATAAATACTTATAAGCACATAACAATTCTTTTGTGACTGTTTTTAATGAATCAACCTACCTGTAGCTTATGGACCAAAATGCCTTCCAATTACGCTTACCATCAAGGTGAAGAGACAAGGCTATCACATGACCATCAATGATGAGCCAGGACCATGGTAAGAGCATAAACTAATTGTGCCACCTACAGGTATGAGGGAAGTTCAAACAAGTGGGAGCTCTCTGGAGAATGGTAAATGGAGATGTTTCCCAAACTTCTAAATGAGAGGTTTCCTGGAGACAGAACATCAGAAGAAAGCCTTCTAGAAAGCAGAATGTCATGAGTAGAAGTTCGGGTGGGTATGGGCAGACCTGGAGTTTCCTGAAAGGCAGCCTACGGTCTAGATTCAAACAGCAGAAAACAGGGAATCACCGAAAAAATTTGAGTGAAATTTGGCAAAGATACAATAATTAAAAATTTTTAAAATCTATTTTTTAATTATTTTTACGTGTATGTGTGTATTGCCTGCATGTAGGTAAGTGCACCAGTGTCATGCAATGCCCACGGAGAACAGAAGAGGCTGTCGGATCCCCTGGAACTGGAGTTATGGATAGTTGTTAGCTGCCATGTGGGTGCTGGGATTCAAACCCGGGTCTTCTGCGAGAACAGCCAGTGTTCTTAACCGCTGAGCCATCTCTCCAGCCCGATACAATCAATTTTAAGGAAAATTAGCAGCACATGAAAAGATGGGGAGGAAGGAGAAAACCAAGGAGGCCAATGAAGAGGCTAGTTCAGTCATTTAGATGCAAGGCATTGGTGATAAGAGAAGTACAAAATTACGTATACTTCAAGAATGAGAGGACTTGGTGGCTTATGAGATAGAAACAATAGAGAAAATCAAACATAAAGTCCAACAGTTTTGGCCCAAGACAAGTAGAATGGAAAATAGAAAATTTGTGAAAAGCTATTGACTGGAAGCCAGGCTGGGCACAGGTAGGAAATGACAAGGGCAAACTATTGGGTACTAACATGGCAGAAATTCTAAATGGACACATACAGCTTTACCTGGAGATCCAGGTATAATTGGTCCAAAAGATCAGTGATGAGCAGTCTGACAGTGAAGAACAAATGCACAAAAATTATGAGAAAGAACAGGGAAGAAAAGTTGGCAAATGTTGAAATGGAGAAGAGTGAAAAGGGAAGAAAGGAAAGAAAGGATAAAATGGAGAAGGAAAAGAGGGAGGGAGGAAGGATGTATGGAAGGACAGAAAGAAGGAGGAAGGAAGAGGAGGAGGAGGAGGAAGAACAAGAGAAAGAGTATATTTTATATTCCAGTCTTCCAGGATCTCTTGGAACTCTATATTCTATGCTATGATCAGTCTCTTTATTTTAATCCAATTGTATTTCAAGTTTAGTGAATAATATTTATGTAATAAAGAACTTCCATTATATCCACTGAACTTAAAGAAATTAGGAAAGACAACTGAAGACACACTCATTTCTGTGTGTGGAATGAAAACTTTCTGCATGTCATGTGAGTCAGATTTTGTCTTACCAGTGAAAACTTAACAGTTGGAGGGAATAAATCAAACACCAAAGTAGAATACAGAGAGTGACCTCATGTTGCCTGTGACTTAAGACAAAGTGTGACAACAGCTTTACCTTCATGATGGGGACAGTCTCCTGTCCTGGCCTGAACTCAGCTCGGTTACACAATGTTATTATCTTGGACAAGGAGGCCCAGGTTCCAGAACTTTGGTCAAAGGCTTGGTCTGGTATATAGAAAAAGAATAGTGGTTGCTGTGAATGTTGGGCCCACCATACCAGAGTCACATCTTTCCCATAAGACCACAGAGTGGTGTGGCTACGTTCACCCAACCCCTCTGCTTGGTCCTCAGCTTCAGGATAGAAAGCTCCACAAAACTCACTTGTCTGGGTTTCACTTGTGTCGGCCACAAAGATCTGATTATCAAACCACAGATGTGCCACGGTCATCCTGTTCTGGGTCAGGGTCCCAGTCTTGTCTGAACAGATGATGGAAGTGGAGCCAAGAGTCTCTACTGCCTCCAGGTTCTTCACCAGGCAGTTCTTCTTGGCCATCCGTTTTGCTGTCAACGACAGGGTCACCTGGCAGGAGAGAGAGGAGAATGCTTGCAGACAATCATTTTGAATTCAGGTTTGATCATACAGAAATCGCTAAAGTTATCTGGGACTGACTTGGAGGAGAGAGGTGAGAGAGTGTTAGGCCAGAGTTGGTATCACAGTAAGTCTAGACTAGTGACTTAAAAGCCACTAAAAGGCCCTATTAACCACAATCTTTAAAAAATTAAACATGGGACACTTTTTTTGTCCCTATATTCTGTGAAGAAGATGCTCCTGGTGGTCCATAGGCAGTCAAGACAGGCCTTGGGGCTGTGGCTAGAACTCACGTGTAAGCCAGAAGAGAGCTTAGAAGGCTGAAAGTAGAACAGTGGTAAATTGCTTCCCTAGCAATTTCATGAGGCCCTGGGTTCAATCTCCAGAACCACAAAACAAAAACAAAACAAAAAATCTGGGAGCTTGAGCTACCTAGCTTCTGTAGCAGCATGAATAGATAAGTAAGACCCTGACTGATAATAGGCCAAGAAGGTTATTCCCAGTCACTCACATGCTATTGTGGAGAATCAAGAACATAAAACAAAAAAATAAAGCAAAACAAAACAAAAAAAAGTGCTAAGGTCAGAACCTATGGTTTTGCACATGCTAGGCAAATGCTTTGTCACTCAGCTACACACCTAAATCCTGGGTTCATTTTAAGAGCTTCATATTTTAATGGTTCTTTGAAATCTTCAGATCCCAAAGGGTCCTTTGGGCTCTAATTTCTTCAAATTACTATCTCCTGGACTCATATGAGGCCAGGAACCCAAAGATGTTCTTCTCTCGTTTTTGGCCTGGACAGCACTAGTCCACTACTAATATAGTTAAATAACTAGAATGTGAACTGTCCTTCCTACCCCATGGGCCAACGAGGGAGGAGAGAGTTTTTATCTAAGGACTGAATTAGAAGAAACAGGGAAAGCCAGGCCTAAAGTTGGAGGTTAGCTAAGGAAGGGGTTGAATTCCTTTACAAGAAAAGGGGATGGATGTTAAGAAATGTCAGGAATGCATTAGTTCTAGAAATTCAAGTTTATCTTCTCTAGATATTAAGGAGGTAAAATAACCTATGTGAAGATAGTGCTCCTGAAAATATAGCTTTCAAAGACAATGCATTTAAACATTAAAAACATCACAATTCTTTTTGTCAACCCCTCTAAGAAACAGCCTGTTCAGAATACTCTATGGTGGTCCCTGGTAGGGAGGGTGTGTTGCCCTGTAGCTGGGGAAATCTGTGGCTCCCCATCCACAGTAGTGAGGCTACAGGCTTCATAACAGTGTGGACTCACAGTGACAGTGGCCAGGAGGCCTTCAGGCACATTGGCCACGATGATGCTAATGAGGAAGATGATGGCATCCAGGATGTAATATTTCATGCACACCGCAATGATGAAGAAAATGATGCCGATGGAGATAGCCACTCCTGCCACAATATGGACAAAGTGCTCAATCTCAATGGCGATGGGTGTCTTCTCACTTCCAACTCCTGAAGCCAAGGAGGCTATGCGACCAATGATGGTGCGGTCACCAGTGTTGATGACTATGCCAGTTGCCGTGCCTACAGAAGAAGTACACATTTTACTCCAGGAGTCTCACAGCCCTCTCTGGGGCTTTGCACAGTGAATCAGCACATGCCAATATAAAGACCAGCCTCAGTACTCTGATCCCCTCAATTCTGGATTCCTTTGGAAAAGCTTGCAATAAGGGATCAGAGGGACAAAAATCATAGGCCTAAGAGGGAGAGGTGAAGCAGGTGAGGCATGTGCTTCTGAGAGCCACCTGGCCTTACCTTCCAGGCAGGTCGTGGAATAGAAACCTATGTTCTTTGTTTCCAAGGGGTTTTCATGGGTAAACTCAGTTGAACGAGCCTGGGGCTCAGATTCCCCAGTGAGAGAGGAGTTATCTACCTGAAAGAAAGTTTGAAAACAATTTAAAAATAGCCACTTTCTATCGAAATTGGGAGGCAATGCCTGCTACCTTCCAGGAGGCTCCTCAAGGTGGGTTCTTCCTGACACTCACCTTGCACCCCTGGGAAGACAGCAGCCTGATGTCCGCAGGGATCTGATCTCCTCCCTTAATCTCCACAATGTCCCCCACCACCAGTTGCTCTGCAGGGATTATCTTCTTTTCTGAATCTCGAATGACAAGAGCTTGCTACAGAAGAAAACCATGACAAATGCCTCAGCCCCTTGTGAGTCTGCTGGCTCTTCCACTGTCTGTACCTTACCAGGTGGGGGTGGGTCCGAGGGGGTGGGAAGTATGTGTGTGGGGGAAGTGGGACCACCACTGTCCACTGTCAGAATGGTACAGATGAAACTAAAGAATATTGGGCCTCAAGACCCTGAGAACTATTTTTGTCTTTAGCTCTGCTCTTGGAACCAGAACAGGCTTGGATGATGAAGATATGGTTCCCAGCTGAGATGAATGGTGAACAGCCAAAGAGCTTAAGAAGTCTGGTGAGATGGGGGAAGTTTAATGAGGTGGTCTCCAGCTTTGCGGTGCAACAGGAGGCACCTCCTACACCCAGAATTTTTCCTTCTGGCCGTCAGCTCTCTGGCTCAGGGCCAGAGTGGTTTCCCAGCTGTGGATACTTAACTGGGAACCTTAAGGAACACTGAAGGCAAAATGTTATGAAAGCACAGTTAGACAAAGCAGCTTAGGTGGATCTTTTTGGCTACCAGAGAAGGACTATTTTGAAACCACCTGAGTGACTGTCCAAATGGTCCAGAAGATGTACTATGACTAATGTTCTGTTCTAATTTTCCCCTGACTCAGCACTTTCCTCACTCTCACCTCTTTGTCACCACCTCAACCCTGTGAAGAACTGGGGTTCAGAGACATGAGGTAACTCATCCAAGATGTCCCAGGAAAGTGTGGGACCAGGATTTCTTTCTTACCCTGGAATTCAAGAAGGAACCAGAAGAGGGATGGCTGCTACTCACCTGGGGGATCATCTTACTAAAACTGGCCATGATGTTGGTGCTTTTGGCCTCCTGGTAATAAGCAAAAATCCCCGTCAAAATAACAACGAGGATAAGTATAGCGCCCAAGTAAACCTGGGTGAGGAGGAAAGGCAGCAGTCAGAGAAACAGATACAGGTTGATAATCCCTAATCAAAAAGTCCGAAATCTGAAACAGTCCTAAATCCACAATTTTCCAAGTCACAATGTGACTCCAGGGTAGAAAATTTGTACCTCACCTCATGTGATAGATCAAAGTCAAAACACAAGCACACTAAAAATATAGCCAAAAATTACCTTCATGCTATGCACATAAGGTCTATATGAAGCAAATACATTTTGTATTTATGTTAAGATACCTTGTTATATGTGCATATTTGATCCTCTGCCAAAACCAAAATCTGAAATCTAGAACATTCTTTATTGATCATGCTCTTTGGTAGTCAGTCACTGTCTTCTCCTGCCCCCAGCCTGGGAGCCATGGATATATATGCCCCTGTCTCCATACATGTGCCTGACTAGATATTTCACATCAGTGGCCTCATATAACATGGGGCTTTTGGCAGCTGGTTTCTCTTAGCATGGTGTCAGCCAGTTCAATTTTGTGGGTTTGGCCCTCGGTTGTGAGTAGGCATAGCTGCCCTCCATGTTTGTAAAGGGAGGAGATTAGCTTTGAAGAAATAGCTCCAAAATACTTCACGGGTTTTTTTTTGTTTTGTTTTTTTGTTTTTTTAATTTTTAGGAGCTCAGTGTTTGGTCTGTATCTTATACTTATGCCATCTTTGATACATTGGACCATGAAATACCTTTTTTTTTTTAAGCTGGGAGAACTCCTGATCTCTGCACACCAATCACTGCCTGATGGTAATAGAATCCAGCCTTTAGACCAACACTGCCCAGTGATGGCTGCACTTTATGACTAAGTTCTTCCTTGTAACTGAGCAAAGCCAAAGTGGTTGCTTACACTGTCTAGAGATTCGGACTTGTTGACACGTTGAATTGCATATGCAATCCAGCACAGAATGGCGCCTATCCATAGAAGGATGGAGAAGCCCCCCATCATCTGCTTGAGGAACTTGATTATTTCTGGAGTTTGCTTAGGAGGAGTGAGGGTGTTGGGTCCATCCCGAGCCAGGAGCTCCACAGCTTTGGAACTAGAAAGACCCTGAAAAAGCCAAGAAAAACATATACATAGAAACAAATAGACATTACATATCTCTTGTCCCTCAGAAGTTGATCATGTTTCTCCAGGTTGTGGTTAGGCATTAGCCTGCCCAAGAAGGCTTTGGGAATGTGAACAATGCCTCCTTCTTCTAACTCCTACTGTTTTGAAAAAAATTACTTTTGTTTTTATTAATGGGTATCCTGTGATGTTTCAATATGTATACATTATTTAATGTTTAAATCAGCTTAAACATCTATCTCCAATAAACATTTATTATTCTGGAATTTTGGAGGGTGTGCTAGGGATTGTACCCAGGGCTAAGGAACTTTCTCTCTCTCTCTCTCTCTCTCTCTCTCTCTCTCTCTCTCTCTCTCTCTCTCTGTGTGTGTGTGTGTGTTTTTTATATGTTTTTA